GTAGAAGCTAGAGCTATCCCCGGGCCCAAACCGGCCGACAACATCCCCGGGCCAATGCCAACGCGTGACGAGCTGATCGTATACCATCCCCTTGGTTGTGGTTAATACTACTACCAACATGCTCCTTAGGCTCGTACACAATGTAGAAAGCACGGACAAATAACGTCTGCCGCTCGAACCAATAAGGCCCTTTCTTCCCAGCGGAAACATAAGGAGCGATCGACACCATGACCGTCTTGTCGCCGTCGGCTCCGGTGGCTTCCAGGTTGCCGCCGATGGGGAACTTGCGCGCCGCCTTGTCTTGCCCGGGGACGATGGCCACGTAATGGCCCGCGTACCGGGGCTCAACCACTGCGTTTCGGAATAGCATTTTTTCTTCGCCCTCGCGCATGTTCAACCACGCGTCGAGGAAGGATATCTGGTGGACGTCGGGTCCGAAGCCCATCTCCACGACCATCACCTCCTCCGTCTCCTACTTCTCCTTTCGGCTCCTCCACACCTTGGGCCTCGTCACCGGTACCCTCACGTGCTTGCTCACGACTACATCCAGCTTCGGGGGCTGGAAAGCGACGGTGGCGGCCGCCTCGCCTCCCCCGTTGGCGCAGAAGACCCAGCCGCCGTCCCTGAGCACGCAGTCCATGAAGCAGCTCTGGGACTGCGCGTCAGTCAGCCCGGCCTCGGCCTGGTCTGCTCCCTTGCGGGCGCACTTGTCGTGGCAGAGGCAGGAGCTCGGCACCGGGGCCTCCATCTCGCCGACCCGCCGCCGCCGGATGCACCCGCCGTCGCCTTTGCCATCAACAGCCATGGTCAGCAGGACGACGGTAGCCGTCAGCAGCACGGAAACCTTCATCGTCCTTGAATCGGGAACCATTGTTGGTAGTTGGCTTGGACTTTGAGACCTAGCAATTCAATTCAGTGGGCGTTTAATTAGGGCCGTGAGCCCACGTATATGTACACAAAGTATGTGATGACTTGTCTCGGTTGTGAGGCAAACTGGCAAAGGATAGCAATGGAATGGACCCCTACCCAACGTCGTCTTGCTTCGCTGCAACATATATGTGTGGCTAACTACCGATAGCGAATTATCCCATTTTGCTGCCGCCCATCGCGAGTGGTCCCTGGTCGCCGGGATTTCGTGTTGCTAATTACTACTCTCTTCGTTCCGAAATGTAAAATCATTTTTGACACTAGATGAAGGGAGTAATACTTAGACTCGAATATATATTCAATAAGCAGATATTGTCGGATATTTGTTGGGTCATATTCATTCCTAAGTACTCCCTCCGTCCTAAAATAAGTGACTCAACTTTGTACTAGCTTTAGTACAAAATTGAGTTACTTATTTTGAGATGGAGGAAGTAGTTTCCAGCAAAGCAAGCTCCAGAAATGACGATGCAGAATGGATCAGTAGGGAACAACTAACGACAAATGACGCTGCAGATGGGCATCAAATGGACCAGTCCCATTAAATGTGGGAATCAGCAGAGACCACATTTTTCTGGGCTGAGAAGATAGTTAAGCCCAAGTAACAGTCCATGTCAAGCTCCTGAAAAAGCATGGACGTTTCCCTAAAAAAACAAAAGCATGGAACTACTCCCTCCTTCTCATAATATAAAATCTTACTACGTCTAACCGTCCCATAATATAAGATTTTATTACATTAAAATCTTGTATTATGGGACGGAGGGAGTAGTACGCATTGCTCTTAGCTCCAACGCTCCCATGCCTCAAAATGTTGACAAGAAGTAAGAGCGTCGCAACCTCAGCCAACCCAATTATAGTTGTGTTTAGATATGTTCTTCTCCTTCAATGAGCCAATGTGGCGACCCAACCGTTGTAGCGATTCAAACACTGTAGCAACCGGTTATTCAAAAAAATATAGTCGTTTTAATTCCAAAAAAATTGGAAACACGCACAATTTTTTAAAACGCGAACTATTTTTGAATTTCTAAATATTTTTCCTAAAAATATAGTCATTTTTCTTAGTGCGGAAAATTTACTAACATTCTGCTTCTTTATGAAATTACAAGCATTATTTTAAAGCATCGGTTTTTTTTAATATGTGATGAATATTTTAATTTTCGGACATTTTTTAAAAATGCAAGAATTTAAAAAATCAAACATGTTACTGTGAACATTTTCTAGAATTATAAAAAGATGTTAATAAACAGAAACAATAAAAATAATAAAGAAAAAGAAAAAGAAAAAACCAGTCAAGAACCTTCTAGAAGATTTCTAAAAACCCTGAAACCTTCCAGAAGGTTACCTATTCAAAATATATTCATTAAATTCAAAAAAATGTTTACAAATTAAGGAACTGTTCATGAAAATTTGAAAACAAAGTTGACAAAATTTATAAAATGTTCCTGTATTTCAGAAAATTAGAAATAATTTCATCATTTCGAGAAATGATCGTTGATTCAAAAAATGTTTGTCAAAACAAAAACAGTCAGTGAATTACAAATATTGTTGCCAAATTTGGAAAAATGTTCATCGATTCAAAAAAGTTTATGAGTTCCAAAACAATGTTCAAGATTTCAAAAAATGTCATGATTTTTAAAAATATTACGAAAATGTAAAAAAGTATTCAACATTCTGAAAAAAAATCATGATTTTAAAAACAAAATCATAAATTCGAAACATGTCGATGATATCAAGAAACACTTACGATTCTATCAACAATTCATGAATTTGAAAGATGGGTATGAAATAAAAAATAAATAAAGTAAAATTAAAAATAATAGGAAACGAATAATATAAAATAGAAAAAAAAATAAAAAGTGAAAATCAAAAAAGAAAAGAAATAGTAAAGAAAGGAAAGAACAAAAATTAAAAAAGTAGAAAAAACCCGAAAGAAAAGCACACACTGTGAGGAGGTATAGGACCTTCCTAAAACCTGAAAGGATCTTGGTGGGTCGGATCTAGCATATGTAACGTAGATAGGGTGGTACATATTAGGTTGCTGTTTCATTCCCTCCAGGCTTTAGCAAAGCCTCCACTATTGCCGCCTGCCTGCGGCAAATAATGGGAGAATATCTGGTGCACCGGTGGTTATGGTGCTACCGGTGCACAGAACTCATGTTACCAATTTTAAAATATTCAAAGGTTTCTGAAAAAATTAGCACATTCACACAACACAATGTAGGTTGTCACAGAATTTCAATCAAAATTGGAAACACAAACCAAAAAATAAAAATGAAAAATTCAACATTGAATAGTACATAACATAAGTTGGGCCTTAGATTTGGCACATTATCACGTAGATGTTAAAATATTCATTTTTGTATCTCTTTTTTTTTGAATTTTGATATGAATTTTTGCGACAACACACATTGATGTTGTGTCAATGTGCTAGATTTGTTTTCAGGATTTTTTTAAATTTCCTCCGGCATCCGGTATAACTGTAACACCATAAGTGTGGGTGCACCGGATACATTCCCGGCAAATTAGAGCTGTCCGTAATCCCGCATATACAGAAGTGGAGAGAGCATCATGCTAAACGGGCTGGCCCAGGTGAGCGGCCGGGGCTATGGCCTGCTACAACAGGAAAATGTTTTTCTTTAG